CATTCAGTAGTTTTGTTTAATATAAATCTTAATAAAATATACTCTAAGATTTTCTATTATAAATTCATTATTTATTAATTTTTTCTCGGCCTTTTGAAAGAAGATTTTTGGACTATGATATTATTTTTAATTTTATTTGAAAATTGCGCCATGCGTGCTAACTACTCCATGTAATACCAGAAACAGGGTATTTCTGAGTCAATCAACAGCGCACAGCTTGGTTCATCGTCAGAGTCGCTCGCGTTTTAGTTATTATTATTATTAATGGAATATGATGGTTTTGTTTAGCGACATCAAAATTGATTTAATTTGCTTAAATTAGAATAGCGGAAGCTGACAAAGAATTGTGTGAATTGCTTTGGTCTACAGCGAGAAGATTTTTATCGCTCTTTGGTTTCTTCTACGCGTGCCACACGTGCCAGGAAATCAGTTGTAAAGGTAGACGGAAAATACGTTACAGCAACTAATTTCCTGGGCCCAACAATGCGTACAACAAATTTATTGAGCACGCGGCAAATGAGCTCGCAGGCTCGCTCGCTGGCAACAAAGGACAAGGGCTCCCTCATTATCCGTCTCCATGCTCGTGGAGTAGCCCTGCAAGGAACAGGACCCTCATTGAGCGCTGCAATGAGTCGCTTTGCTCATTGAGCCAGTTTCTGGCTCCGGCTTCGGCTACGGCCTCGGCTCGGGGGTTGCAGCTGTGTATTGAGCCAGGACGAGCATTTGCTAGGGACGCTCGTCCTGTTTGGATAATTATTATCAGTGATCCTGAAATGAACGTTACTTTGAGCCCGGTGCACATCGGCTGGCACGCGTCAAAGTCTTTTCCTAGGTTTTCTTTTCTTTTTAATGGAGGCGCAGCTGCAGCTGAAATGAACAAGACGAATCGCTTTGCAAAGAATACTATGAAAACCAATTGGGGCCGGGCTAGAAATCTGCAAGAAGGTCATGTACATATGTACATATATGTGTCTAAGTATGACTATAACTGGCTCAAATAATTACTTGGAAGTATAGCTGATAGTTCTGAAAGGATTAGTCATTATATTTGTATGACTCTTGTATGACTTCTTATATAAAACTGAGAGTATATTTCTCAAAAGTAAGCAATGGAAAAAATGTTAAAAAAAAAAACATAATTCTTATAGATTTGTTATTCTTGATATCATACAAATAATATACTAAATTCTAATTCTCAAGCAAACTTTGATTTTTAGATGAAATGCCATCTTTTTTGTTATAACTCTTTTTTATAATTATCTATTATGTTGTTACTGTAATCTCGCAACTATTATCAGCGTAGGGTTCGTGGAGTTCATAGTTTGAGTTTTGGTTTAAGATAGCTTAGCTTAGATATTAACAGGATATTCATGTTGACACTAAAGGCAACGATTGACTAGACCTGTTGGGTAGGCCTTTTTAAGCGTCCCTATTATTCTTCGTTAACTTCTGGCTAGGTTCCTGAACATGCCTAGACTTCATTTAGCTCTTGAATTATAATAAAAGATTGGCTTTCAGCTTAATTGGCTGGCAGACATAGGCGTGAAATGCATTTGGCCAGAGAGTTCGCCGGAAACCAGCGAGCTCTCTAACCATTTTCATGGTTGCCAGCAAATTATCTGTTCGGGGTTTTTGGCTTTGGTCGAGCGCACAGCGTGCGCTGGTCGCGATTGCAAACCGACAACGGCGACCACAGCAAGTGCCTGGAGCGAGCTCTTAGGGGAAGGTTGGAAGGAGATGGATGAGCGAGAGAGCGGCATGGCTGGCGTGGACACTCCCAGGACTTTGAGCCACACTCATAAACACATTATGCATGCCACCTTGGGGGTAGAGTATAGTACACTGTAGTTTTTCAGAGCCCTAACGAAATTTGTATTTTGTGAATGCAAAAAGTCTATAAAACCATAACGCGTTTTCCAGGAATCTGCACAGGTAAGATCTGTCGACAAGCCTGTAAGGTTCGCACCGTTGTTGTCACAACAAACAATGCGCAAAAATATCGAGTTTTTCATCTTTTTAAAGGTATTTGTCGGTGGCTCATAAAGCGATTATAATCAATATTAAAACGCGCCCTTTGTCCAGCGAATGCCTTGAGAAATTTTTAAGCACTTTCGAAGCGCTCTAATTACGGCCATGTACACACGTGGTTTATGATTTCAAGGCAAGCAAAGTCGAGTCCAGTCGATTCGTCTGACAATTCAGCATAAATAAACCATTAATTTAACATATCGCTCAGGCATAACGAAAGCAAAGACAAAGACAAAGACAAAGCCTGAGACTGGGACTAGAACTGGGACTGAGTCGAACTGGTCGCATTGTGAGGTCAGGGTCCTGGGATCGCATGGCATGGATCGTGGCCAGGTGTGCGCCAAGACTCGTGTGACGGAATCGCACACGCAACATGGAACGCGTTCAAAACCCAATACCAATACCCCAACCCCGTCAACCTCGATGCCAATCTGTTGGCATTTAAATGCGCTGCGCAAAAAGAACGATCGAAAGTTTTGTTGCGTTGCGCATGTGCAGCCCCTAGACGCAGCCAGCCACCCCATTTTGATCCTTATTCGACAAGATTTCAAGAAATCTTATGCAAAATGTACAACTCACACGGAGGGTTGGTTGCTCAGCAGCAGCAGTTCCCCGAGGTTCAGTTAAGCGCAACGACCTTTGTCTGTTCAGAAGGGGAGGCGCTTTCGGGCGCATGTCTCTCGTTGTAGGGCCGGGGCTGGTTTACTGTACTGTGGTAACTCGCAGGCAGCTGCTGTTTCGTTGCGTCAGAGGGTTTCTTTAAGGCTGTGCCAAAAGACACCCCAATATTAGAAATCGTCTTTTGCTTTGGTTCTGTGCAACGCGTGTGAAAGTTTTTATATATGGCCCAAAGTTGGCCACACTTCAGCCATTTTGTTTAGCCTGCCTTCCATGCGACCGTCATCTGGCATTGGGAATGGATTTGTGCCCAGCCAAAGTCTCGAATGTCGCACAATTCCATACATCTACTCGGGGAATGTGGCAGAAGCGTGTGTGCACACACGCAGGGGGCCCGATTTCTATGCTCCTAGAACATAGTCTGCTAAAATAGTTATGGGTTATTTATGAAGAAATAGTTGAAACGGAAAAAAACGATCACACATCAATTTTTCGCAATGGAATTAATTGTATCTTCCAGATACTAAATCGATATTCATGTCCAAATAATCTTACTTATATTTGAGCCATTCATTTGAAATGCTATCAACCTTAAAATCCTCTCAAAATTATTTAGCTGTAGTTTAAAATGACTTAAGACCTTTTTATACTGAGAGAAGATTCTATTTCTGAACAACTAGTTTTTGAGGCTTACATTCTTGGCAAGATGATGAGCTAAATAAATCAGGGTCATTAGCTTTTTTTTTTTTTGGAAAAAAGAGCGTTTAGTCTTCCCAAACTTGTATTAAAAATTTTTAACTAAAATCATCTTCGAACCTTAAACATTAACTTAAACCTGAAAATCTTCGTCTCTTCCATGTCTCTGTACAAACAATATATTACAATTTATAAGTATATAAAATAATTGTCATCAATAAGAAATCGTAAAATTGTGTAAGAATCGGTTGGAATTTAAGTACGTATTATACTTGATACAATCAATTTATTTTTTCGCGCTGAAATCGTAGGAATGTTTCCTTTATGAATAAAATACGAACAAGCTTATCGTTTGCTGTATATGTATAAAAAAAGAATAATACTCTTTCAGTACATAATAATTGTATATAAATATAATCTTTAAATATATTCTTGAAATATAATGCATGCAAAAAGTTTTGATCTCTTTGAATGTGACATCACAAAATAAATGTATTTGCTGCGAGGTTTCTTTATATTGAGGCAAATTATAAAGTCTTTGCGAGATAAAAAAGACTTTGCCCTGGGTTATATTAAATTATATATTAAGTTGAACGCGACCTAGTTTTAAGTTCAGCGCGGACCTTGAGCCAAATGCAATCTACGCTTGGTTTAGCGCTCTCGTATTAATGTGTTTGAGTGCTGGCAGTTAAATTTCCGGACAAGTCAAATGCAAACAAATGCGCCGATGTCCTTGATGGCGGCACTAATGTTTTTATAGCAAAGGACCAGAGCTGGCACAAGGATGCATCACGAGATGCGCACAAGGTTACGTTTTACGATAGAAACGGCCAAATTTCCAGAGTTCCGTGTAATGCAATGGCGATGACAGCAGCCGCAGTGACAAAACAGCGAACGACAGACAGAAAGACAGACAGACGGGCGGACGGACAGACTGGGTGAGGCGAAAGGCTGCGCTGAAAGGATGCGCAAAGTTAACAGCACAGAAAGCGGCGTGGGCGAAGGACCCGATGCAAGAAAGGATAACTTTACGAGCGGGCTCGTAAACGCATTTGCATTGATCAATATGAGCAATGGGTGATTATTTGTTTTGGTCACAATAAAAGCGGCGGGTGGCAAGGACAATGCAAGGATAGCCTTGCCAGCATTCGTGCCATTAGCGCAACGATTAGTGGCTTGAGCAGGGGCTGCGAACGGCTACAGAACCCACTCCTTACTTCCCGGAAGACATTGCCAAACACTTGGGTATGTGAATACCATTTACCCAACCTCATCTTTTTTTACTAGTTTTTTTTTCTTTTTGCTGCTTTATTGCGTAAAAAACGTTTGGCAACTGCCCAAGAGATTACAGAAGTCAATTTTGTTTCCAGGAATGCGATTGGCTATTGCATAAATCGCCTTGCGTCGCGTTTACGAGTTGGAAAAAAGGCTTTGTCTGGTTATTTCGCTGAATTAACTGTACAGCACGGGTTTTGGGCAATGTTATGCAAGCAAAAGTCCTGCAAGCCCAGTTCGTACTAACTAGGGGTACATCAGCAGGCGGATTCTCGGTAACTATTCGAACTATAAGATTATTTCCCGGAAACTGCCTAAGTGACAGCCAATCATTCCAAGCAATCCATTGTCATCATAAATCTAAGCTACTATATTTCCTACAGCACAGATTATCGCACCCAATTGCCTATCAAAATACACACGGAAACGGGCAAAGTCCTGGCATGAAACATTTCGTCGATACTTTGACATAAAACACGATCGAGTATAATAAAAATATAAGAAAAGGAAAGAGCCCGCTAAACTAATTTTCCCAACACACACAAAACAAAAAGAAATATGCCACAAACTGAGTAACAAGTGCGTGTGAACTCGGAAAAAATATACAAAAGCAAATAAGCAGACCATACAGAGAAAATATTCTCAGCAGCGCAAAAATGCAGCGCAAGGATCAGCAAGGATCGGGGCACACTAATCGTTTATTATGATCAACGAGCTGAATCAATAAAACGAAAAGAAACCAAGCCAAGCCCAGCCAAACGAAACGAAACGAAATGAAATGAAAAACGAAGCGCCTACTTCAGACGTGTCCTCCGACGGAGGTGCAGGAACCTGTTCGGAGGCTGAGGGTTGGATGTCCTTTTGTGTGCGTTGGAGTGTTACCGTTTCGGCCGTGAGAAACGGCAGCGGGGTAACGATAACAGGTACACGCTACAGGTACGCTGACGTGTATGCAAAAGTCAAAATATGCATGGGAATTCGTTATTTTGGAGTTGCCCTGGGAAAGTGTTCACTATCGAGGACTTAACGGAGTGCTGGGAACAGCATAGCATAGGCAGGACAGCAAAAATTATGTGGGCGGTGTCAATGAAGACTCATGTGAGTCCTTAGGGCAATAAGCTCAAACCCAACAACACTTCGAGCATTAGAAAACTATTAGAGTATTCATTTAAACGTTCAAATATATTAACTTATTTTCTATATTTTTATTCAAAGACAACAAAGGAAGAGGACAAACCAATTCAAGACAAACAAAACAGAAATGTTCGTTGGCTCGATTCACGGTTTGAACTTGGTTTGAATTGAATTTGAATTTGGTTTGACCAACGATTATTTGTATTCTCTTTAATTATAAAGCAAACTCCGTGTCAAAGTATTTCTATATGTCGACTCAGATGGCCGTTGGCCAGATCACGAAGTTGGCCCCTATATCGGATATTAAATTTTTGTGTGCGACGAAAATTTGCGTGATAATCATCTAATATCTTCTGCATGAGAATAATAAATTATAAGTTATCTACTCGCATAGGGGCTAATACATTGAAGGAATATCCTTGACCACCCTAAGGCAAGATCTTGACATTTTGCGTTCTCAGGAGGATGAACTGTGTCGCCTCAATGCAAGCCAGTCTTCCAGTCTGCGCATCCCAACCAGCACGACAACCACGCCTACAGCTGCTCAGCTATGCCCAAGAAAAAAGACACAGCTATAACAATAAAATATGTGAACTTCCTTCCGGTAAGCGGAACTGCACCAGTCGCTGGCAAAAGGGATATTATTGGTATTCGCAGCGCTGAGACAATGTGTAGAAATCTAAATTGCAAAATATGGAACACTGGTCGCATACACAGACGCAGACCCAGAGCTGGCTGTGGGAACCCAGGACGGCGGGGAACTGCTGCTTAGGCTGTTTCCAATTTGATGTGGGCCCACCCTCGCGCCGATAGCATCGTCAGTGCTGAGAAAATCTTGTTTGTTGTGGCTGAGCCAGAAATCTCAAAGATTTCATCGTTCTCTTTCTAAATGAATGTTTCTTTTCTTTTTGTCCCGCTCATTGTTATTTGCGAGCCGCAACAATATTTGTATACAGAAACAGGTTAACAGGTATTTAGACTAAGGATCAGTCAGGATTAGAGTGGCAAGCGTGTGATGTGCCGGATAAATATAGACAGCACATCAACCAAGCTCAAGTGGGTGGTCGCCAAGAAACCCTAAAGAGGTTCTCTCAAGCAAGGTCAGCTCCATTAAATGGAGTTGAACAAGGAAAAGCCATTCGAAAGACTATTACGAATGTTGTCAACTGCCCCATAAATTAGTTAAAGTGGCTCTCATCTAAACCTGTTTAGAAGCTCATTGGCAATGCAGCGTGCTCCACACACTGAGCAGGCAATTAAGCAAGAGGACGCAGGATATGAGCGGGGCGTGTCGGGCAATGCAATGGTAATTTGATATGCGCGCACTTCTGGAGCGCGTTTCTCACAGCGGCCAAACGGCAGCTAAGTGCCTGACGACAGGTAGTCCTGGCGCTGTTGTCCTGCGAGCTCCTACGTGTTGCCTCCTTCAACATCTCATTGGCGCAACAAATCGCAACGTAAACGCAAGCAAACAAAACTGATGATCGATCGATGCATTCTTTGTCCGTATTCGAGGCATCCTGTGGCGTTGGCGGCATCGGTTCTAAGGAGCGTTAATTAGATTTACGCTGCACTCGAGCGGTGCCCATCAAAGTGCTGGTCAGGACTCTCGATTTGGTTGAAATCACACGCATAATCACACAGATCGACAGATACACCTGTGTGAAAGGACCTCACGCAGTAAAGCAGGACTTGCCCATGGGCTGCCGCCGTTCCAATCGCTGACCTTTCCGTTTCCCATTCCCATTCCTTTCATCATTCCCATTCCCATTCCCATTGGCTATTGGCTATTGTTATTCGCATTTCCTCTTATTAATTTGAAGTGCCCGCACTTCATGCAACTGTTGCGCATCGCTTCCTTCAGTCGGTGCCTCGGTGTCCTGCCTCGTTTGCTTCCTGCCCACAATGCTGTCCTGCTTTTGCACTTCCTGTGGGTCAGCCCGATTGTTGGCCAAAACATTCTATTGTCCATTAATTGTGCCGATTATTTACCCGCTGCGGGTGATGGACAGAAGCGGAAGTGAATTTGATGGGATTGACTGTAAGGTGTATTATAGAAATAAACTTCACATGAAACGCATGTGGCTTTATCAGGGTAATGATATTTTACTCAATGTGGACTCGAATAATTATATTTATATTTTTATTATCAATAGCCTGAATTTGCTTGGCATATATTCTCATTTATATATAAATAAATAAAAACTGTGGTTATTTTATTGTCATCTACAATTAGAAAGGGCATAAGAGAGAAGAGAAGAGAGGGAGAAAGAGACTTTAATATGTTCTTAATATAATGTTGAGGCCGATCGGACAAACTTAACATTATAACATTTAACTCTTTTATCTCAAATATCTTAAAAATTAAGTTTTCTACAGCCTTTTTCACAAAGATGCTTCATTCTGCTAATTAGGTTGAGTACTGCAACCAATAAAAATGCATGTACTAAATAATAATATATTATAATAATTTTCCTAGCGCCGCAAAATGTATTTCAAATACTGCTTTAATTTTCGCGCGTCTAAAACCTGCTTGGTAGTAGATGAAGCTAAAATGTTGTTAAGCAAAGTTCCACACCTTTGCACTGCTTATGAATCATATTAAAATCAAGCAGTCCACAAAGCAGTGCAGCTCAAAGTAAGGACTTGGTCGCGATTTGTGCGCGATTTTTTTGCGGCTTCTGATTCATTTCAAAATTTGGAAAGATTTTTTAGTTTAAATAATAATTATAAGACCTGTTCTTAAATGTCCGTGAATCGTAAATTATATAAATATAATATATATATATAAAAATATAAATTAATATATAATATTCAGATTCGGGGTGCATGCCTTTAAATTCATTGAATTTCCTCTAAAGACTGTATCTTTACACTTTTCCCGCTCCTTTTTCCGGAGCACATGTGTCATCTATCCAGTTGAAAGCCCCACAACTGTCGCTAAATGTGGCACCCAAATCCTTTGGATATTTCTCATTTGCAGTTGCTGACTTTGAATTCATTTTAATTCGTTTTTATTTCTTTTTAATTTTTATTACATTTTCGTATATTAGCTTTGACTTTGCTTTAGTTGTATCCACTTTGAATTATTTGCTGTTTGTTTTCCGCGCTCGCGTTTGCAGCCAGCAAAAAATACGCAGACAAAATATACAAATACAGCAGCAGCAGCAGCAGCAGCAGCAGGCAAGGTTTTTTCTCATATTGTTCTTTTGGCCCGGCTTATGTACGGGTCCGGTATTCGGTATTCCGGAGTCTGGGTAGCGGGATTCTGGCTCGGACTCGGACTCTGGCCACGTTTTGTAGTTATTGTCCAACGTTGACTGTTTACGCCAAATGCGCGCCGCGGAGTAGGAAATTAAAAATGGCGAAATAAAGTTAAATTTTTTATGGCTTGCGCAAATAAGTCACACGGCCCATGCAGTGTAGACCACTGACCACTGGTAGGATCCACCATGTCCAGTGGCCCCACTGCCCCACCATGTGGCTTCTCCCCCACGCTTGTTAAGCAAGAAAATAATATTAGCATTAAGCGTTTGTCTGCGCGCCTCGTGACAGCCGCGGCGCCATCCGTCGCACTGTTTATTTTATTTTATTTTGTTTTTTTTTTTTTATTTATGTTGCAAAATGGGCGACAAACTTGCCATCATTTTGTGTTGGCTTACGTTCTTTTTTAGCCAAACTCGCCACCCCAGTCCACCCCACCCCTCCGCCGACAAATTGTAGTTTTTTATATCATATAGCGCACATGTGTGGCGCCGCCAGCGGCCCGGAGGCAGAAGAGCATGGAGCACATCCAATTAAGCAGCGCTTGAAAAGCTCTAAAAAATGAGGTGCCCGAAGGAGTTGGGCATGTGGCTTGTTTATGTGAGCGTGCGGCAGGGGTGGTTTTAGGGGGGTATGGGTAATGTCAAGTGGCTCCTTTTAAAGTTAGCAGCCAAAGAAAAAATTGGTGTCAATATGCGCCGCACACACAATCAAGCACATTGGGTATCCACAAGTGTTTGAGGTGCTTTCTGCAAAAATAATAATTAGTATTGGGAAAATTGTTCAAAGAACTCGAGGAAAACAGGGTGAATTTAGATATATATATCGAATGTGCTTTCATTTGGACAACTACAGACTGTGGCCAAGCTAACAAGAGAAGCTGGAACGAGTGTAAGGCTCCTCGTAGAGGATATTACAAGTTTGTCATTAAATTCTTACGTCTAAAAGGAGATATCTCTGATCTTATAAAGCATATATATTCTTGATCAGCGTCAACAACCGAGCTGATATCGCCATGTCCGACTTTTGTTTGTGTCTATGCAAATAAGTCTTCCGTTGAAAGTTTGCGACTGGATCGGAGCCCATCATATTCTTCCTGATTTTAATTGAAGTTAGCTTGCCTTTATATTCAAAAAGTTTTATTTTAATACAAATTAGAATCTTTTAGCCCCAATTTAAAGAATTCATTTAATTCCTATAATTCTTTGTTGAAATATTTGTATTGTTTTAAGCTTAAATTAAATATACACATAACAATAAGAAATGACAATGACAAATTGTTACTGTATTGTTGCTGAAGTCTCTCACTTTAAGTAATTTCTATTCGTAACATTTCCTTTTGGGCAAAGCCCATTATTATTGTCTGTCCGAGGCACCACAACACGCTACGTATTTCGAGCTCCTTGTGCCACCGCCGGTCCACGTGACCCTTACCTACCCCAACTTGTGGTGGTGTCAGTTCCACTACCTGTTCGTGTCTGTTCCACATTTCCGAAACTGGTTTGCGTCCAAAAACACAAATACAGAAAGAAAAAATAAAAAAACAAAAGGCAAAGGCGAAAAACATGTTGATGCGTACTTGCACTTTCTTTCAATTAGCTCGCAAGTTTGTTTCTTTCAGCACGGGTTTTACTTTCGTTACTGGCGTTTAATACCCTAATTACCGCATATTTAAGCCGAATCGCTGGATGGGGCGTGGGTGCTAGAGCCGAGAAGAAGCAGTCCAATTATGGTGCGGCTCGCGTGACTGTCAGCTGTCAGCTGTTCGCGCCAGCGGCAAGTCTCGATGAAAGGCGCCGTTATGTTGGCGGCCAGATATCAAGATATTTGGCAACTGGCATCTGGACTTTTGAGTTCTTAAGACGCTGTCGTCGGCGCGTCTCTTTCAGTGGTCTCTTGAACGTTGCCCTGATCATGTCGTGGAATATTCTGTGGATGTGTCTGTGGCTGTTCGTGCGGCAGCTTGTTGTCATCCTGGCGCTCTATGAGCAGTGCAATCATCAGCTGGAGCTGCAGGCGGGCCAGAAAATCTACATCAACTCGCCCTACTATCCTGCCCAGTATCCAGCGGGCAGCTCCTGTCGTTACGCGCTCCAAGCGCCCAGGGATCATGTGTTACATTTCAAATGTGACCTGCAGCTGCACACGGTGGGTCAGAAATGTTTGTGATAAAACGATTATGTTAAATACGTGCCAGTGTTTGTGACATGCAGCTAAGGACAGCAAAAACTATTGTTTAAAGTTTCGTTTAAAACAAGGCTGCAAGAAAAAAGAATGATTGGTGCTTAACGGCTTGATCAAACATGGACCCTAGGATAGATCCTTAGAGCAGCTCATTAGTAGTTAGTTTCTCTCTGTGATAGATAGAAGATAGACATTACAGTTTGTAAAAGAGTTCAGTTTTAAGGTATAATATAAGTGTATAAGTGTGGCAAGCGGGTTTGGTCATGCGGACTCTGATCGGATCATCAGTTTGAACTTCAAATGACTTTAGAGTTTTATGAGTTTTATAAGAGTGAGCATAAGTTCGCCTTAAAAGTGAGTCTCATTACAATATTTTGCTTAATTTTTGTAGTCTATTATAGTACATAGAATGCGGCATTGTCATGCAATCTGCCTGTTAATTTGTTAATTGTTGCACAACTGTTTTTTCTGTTTCTGCTACATGTTGCCCGCCCCGCAGCTAGTGAAGGACACGCGCTGCCGCGCTGAGGTGTTTCACTTCAATGCCGAGGGCGACGAGCTGTTGACGAGCTCCGAATACTTTTGTGGCGCTGGCAAGTTCGAGCGTCAAAGTTTTCTGAATCGTGCTGTGATTTCCTACATATCGCAGAGTAAGGAGGCGGCGATAGCTGCAGTTCCAGCTACCTTGGTGCCAAAGTTAAGGGATAAGCTGCCAACGCGAGCCACGAGCACCAGCAGCAGCACAACAACTACAAAGGCGCCCCCAGTGAAGCAGGAGGACCAGGAAGATGAAAAGGAAGCAGGGCAGCAGAATGACGATGATGATGATGATGATGATAACTTTACGAACGAGGTGCTGCACGTGCTGCAGGATGTGGGCGTAAGCGATGCTTTGGCTTACGTCGCCTCGCTTCTGTATGATGAGCCCAACAATGGTCGTCGAATTGGCAGCACGCCCGCACCAGCTTACTTGGCCCAGTTGCCAGGCCACACTCCAAAGACTTCCGCAAAACGTGGCAAAATTTTGTCCGTTTATCCGCTGGGCGTGCCGGGCGGTGGTCGCTTCTCATGCCTGGTCGAAGCCCTGTCGCCTAATTGCAATTGCGGCTGGAGTCTCACACAAAGAATTGCCAGTCCAACAAACGACGAGGCTTCCCTACACGAGTTCCCCTCCATGGCCGGTGTGCTGACCAAGAAGCAGGGCAAAGTCTTCTGCGGTGCTGCCATCAGTAAGTGGACAGCTTCGCATACAGTGCATGTTAATAGTAACCAGCAAGACTTTCCTTACCTTCAGTTCATCATCATTATTTGCTCTCGGCAGCACACTGTTTCCTCAGTCCAGAGACGAACCACGCCTCCCTGCTGCGCATTGTGGTGGGCGAGCACGATCTGTCCAGCGCCTACGAGACCTTTTTCACGCGTCGCTACGATCTGGACGCGCTGATACTGCACGAGCAATTCAGCCAGGCGAATGGCCAGCTGCGTAATGACATCGCCCTGCTGCGCACTCGCACGCCCATCCAGTTTAATCGCAGCGTCGGACCCGCCTGTCTGCCGCTGCAGCCGGCAGCGAATGGCCGAAAACTGCCGCTGGTGGGCCAACAGCTGCTGGCTGCCGGCTGGGGCACCACTTCCTATGGCGGACCGCAGACGCATCGCTTACTGAAGACAACGCTGGATGTGATCAGCGTCGAGCAGTGCCGCAGCTCGCTCAGTGAGGGATCCGTGCCCGTTCATAGCTTTTGTACCTACACACCTGGGCGGGATACCTGCCAATACGACTCTGGCGGTGCTCTATACGAGCGCAGCAATGGCCGACTCATGGCCGTCGGAATTGTCAGCTATGGCTACGCCTGCGCCACGCAGCAGCCATCGGTTAATACACGAGTGGCCTCCTTTATCAAGTGGATCAGAACCAAGACGCCAGAGGTGGCTTACTGCCTCAAGCACATATGAAATCAAACCTGGCCAATTAAAGCATACGAAAGAAAACTTGTTTTTGTATTATGTGCAGATGTACGGTGAATGTATATACTAAAACAATTCATTTGTTCTTTTACGCAGATTTACTTTTACTTTATTCTAATACCCTTGAATTAGACAATACCAGCCTGGGACTCAGAGCCGAATCTACCGAGGACTATGCCGCAAAGGTTTTACAAGTTAAAGAAATATTTATTCAGGTGACCGAACCAGAAAGTTCTCGGAACATAGGATCTAACAGTAAAACTGAACTGTTCTTCTGGCTGATACATAAGGTTGTGATCTAATATTAAGTCAACGGCAATGAGCCTTAGAATTGAGAGGCAAACTTTTTTTTTTTATCAATTTAGCTTAAGGTTTCGATCAAACGCAAGAAGAACTGTAAGATCTTATGCACAGTTAACTGTATTGGGATTTGTTGCCTAAAGCCCGAACTGTGTAGTTCATATTAGGAAATCAGGTCCGCCGTTTGTTGGTTGCTTCCAGACTACTCAGGCTACCTGCTGTCAAGTGGGTGTCAAGTTTGGCGCTATGCTTGAACGCTTTGTCAACAGGCGCATCAAGCCAATTCAGTCATCAATCATGCATGGAAATCTTAACGCCTGGCTGGCGCTCTATGCCCCGCCGCAGATTGCAATTAAGCGCAAATGTCAACTAATTAACCTCAATGGCTGGCTGCAGGCAATACGAGTTCGTGGAGCAGATACAACAGCCTCTTCTCCACTTGCCATAAACGAGCGCCATGTGCTGATGTCAATAAAAATGCTGCATTTTTGCAATTTTTTTGCGTTTCAGAGATTTGCCCTTTTTATTTATTTTTGTATTTTTTTTCCTTTTTGCTGCTTTGCCGTCTGTTGTCGTCTTCCTTTCAAATAAATAATTAAACGTTTGCCATAACATATGAAGCATGCTTTTAGGCTTAAAGGCAATACAAATCGTCTGCCAGTCACTGTCTATGCGGTTGCTGCTATTTTTGCATATCCCCTTGCCGCCAAATAAATATTTGTTTTTATTTGTACGTATACTCTAGATGTAGAGGGTACGATGAAATTGCTACGAAATGTGCAACACATTCATGAGAAAGAAAAGATTAAAACTGAAAGCTTGTTCATTTGTTCTACAATACAGAAGTCCGATGTTGATAAGTTATGTATATTATGTAGGGAGCAAAGTAAAACTAATTAACGATTTGTTTGAAAATGGTTTCTTGATATACATAAGCTCTTTTTTATAGAATAACTTTCCTATGTTCTTTTGGCAGTTATATGAGTGCTCCGATCAGACTATAGATCTTTGATAAAGTTTCATGACGATGTCTTAAAAACGCCTTCTTTTGTACTTTTTACATTTCATGAAAAATCTTATAAACAATGATGGACATTAATAAGGGGCATCAATAAAGGGTATTTAACAGTCGGTTACACCACAAGGACATCTGCTTTTTCTTGTATGTTATTTCTCTTTTTTTTTCTTTTCATTGTGTTTGTCTAACTGCAATGCACTTTTCTATACCCAGTCGCATATATACAATCATGTCTGTCTGTTTGGCTGTCTGTCTAACTAAGCCGCCTGCATTTGGGCGCTGCTGCAATGCAAGAGTATTGGCCGCTCTGCTTGTGCTTGGTTCGCACTGTGCCTGTTTCTGTGTTTGTCTGTTTTTTTTTTTTTTGGAACGTGGCTCATGTCTGTGCCTCTGCCTTGCGAGGCTCTGCTGCTCGGCTCTGTTGTTCAATTTACGTAAAACGCGGCAACGTCAACTGCAGTCGGCGGCATCAAGTGTTGCGTGGTGCCTGCATTGGCCGGTGGGCGTGGCAACAGGCATAGAAATCGTTGGCATAGACGGAGGCACTAATTGAAAAGCAGCAGCCACTAACAGAAACAACAGCATTGGAGGAACATCAGCCCCAGTTTCAGTGTACCATCTCTGGGGAAATGCAGTTTTTCCACAACAGTTGAACTACAGTAAACACTGCTTGTGGTTACTCCAAATGGTTTTAGTGCGAAAAATATCAAGGGGATTTTAATGCTGTTATGATTTATTTTATCTGTTTTCGCATTGGTAATAAATATTTGCGTTGAAATATACACAAATTTATAGACTTCCAGACTTGTATCGAAAAGAAATCATAAAACAAAATATACTTATACTTATCAAGTATAAGTAAAATCAAAATCAAGTCTTTAAAAATATAAGTTAAATCCATTTTTGATTTGAATTTTTGATTGTATTCAAATATTCGTTTCTTAATATATCTCTTGAATCCTTGCGTTTCAATAACACATCCGCCGACCAAAAAATTCTCACTGTATGAAGATGCATGTATGCACTGCTTTCCCTCTCCGAAGTTTTCAAATTTCCTTTGCATACTTTTGAGCTGCATTTGATTACAAAATGGCGTCGATGATGGGGGCATCTCTGCGACTGCGGGCGCTGCAGTCGTAATACGCGCCTAAACATTGCCATTTAGTTTTCGTTTTGGTGCGCCGCCGCCGACACGCCAAAAAGTATGCAATGCGAAACGCAGCGGCAACTAGGCTTGGACTTTGACTATTCATTAGCGTGTGTGCCAAACTCTAACAAGCTCAAAAAGCAATTTGCAGCAGGCAGCTAAAAATTGGCAAAAATATCGACATGCTGGCTCGTGGAATTGACGTTTTGGGCGGACGGCCCCATATGAGGCTTAGTGGGTGGGGCCGATTTGGCCCGTTACATAAAACCACGCGTCGTACAAAAGCCGCCAAATCGTTGTACACAAAACACCGAAATACAAAATGGCTGCCATATCAGTATAAAAGTGCAAATGATTGAGCTTCCACAAATCGCTTTCACTCCAATAACGCCAATACATATGTAAATTTTTGCACGAAAACTATGTACAACAATCAGAACAATTGTAAAACTCTGCCGTACCATTGGTTATCCTGGTTATATGGCATAAGGTGTAGCTCGTTGAATTATTCTCCACATGTTGGCGAACTTGATGAGATTTATTTGATGGGAACATTACATTTTTCCTACCCTGGCAAACGCTTTGGTTTTATTTTTATATATCGGCCACAATGTGTGGTCAGAAATTAGCGTCGCTTTGTTGTCCACGTAGTAGGCCAATTAAATCCGTTCACATCAATAAAAACATGGAAAAATGCTTGTTTGCCCTTTTGGTTTTATGTTCAAGCTCCGCCGGTAACCAATAATATATATAAGATACCAATTTTTGAAAAGCTTCAAGCCCTTTAACTTGTATGTGTTTCAATTGGGATTTTTATTGTACGAAATTGGGCTTTTTCGAAAAACGGTCTAACTGCCAACTCTTTCTCTGTGCTTGGGACAAGAGTTTTAAATTATGGAATTCGTTGACTGAGTGCAGTTTCCCCGTACAGGAGGATGAGCACACTGATTGGGTGTTGTGCTCGCGTATCTCACCCAAACACTCGAGTCGGCTGGTATCCCACCGCCAATGTCTGAAAATTGGCTAACTGCAAGTTGGAGAATAATCACCATGGCCACTGGCTTTCTGAAAACTGTGACCGTCTCGCCCGATGATAGGATACAAACATCTGGCCGCAAGGACTCCATGGATTTATTGTGGAGTCTGAATGACGGCAAGAACCTGTATATCCTGGAGCAACAATGTCCTGTGTTTGTCGCCCAACCGTCACTTGATTTGCTTGGCCCATTCATCAAGATCTGGGATCTAGCATGCAAGAAGACCGTCGAGCAGAAGACCGTCCTGAGGCCGTCTCGCAAACGTCGAAAGCCGATTAGCCACAGTGACTCTCCCTAGCTTGGTCCACCCATGAATTGGGCCTGTTCACCGGCTAATCCTACAACACTATCCGCGTCTGGTCAGCTTCAGTAAACGGTCTTTATACTTGACATAGCCTGTATAAATCGATGTTAGAGCAATAATAAAGTATAAGGATTAAACTTACAATTTTTACCCAGGCTCCAGGCTGCCGTGATTTACTGCATGGCTTATGACTTTATATGGTCCGAGGATATGTATGTATTTTTATTGACAAATTGTTTAATAATATTTTTCATAAAAAAATAAATAACGATCTAGTCAATATAAACACATTGACCAAATTAATTTGGAAAACCTTTTTAAACGTTGAGTATGACCTTCCATATGAAACAGTGCACTCAGAACATGGGTTCCCCTGATCTTTGCTTTATTTGAATTGGATTGTATGTGATTTTGCCCAAGACTCATTTCGATAATATCAAAATGCGCATTGGACAAAACCACATCCGTTCGGAATATGCAGTTATTCAACTTAGAGATATTGCGAGATGCTATTTTGAGGCTACATCGCGAAGTTGCCATAGATCATCTTCCTTCTAAATTCTGACCAACGATATTTTGCATTATGCGATCTAAATTCATCATTCAGCGAATGCCTGAGAAATGGGTGTAGGTTTTTTCTGTGAGCGTCGGAAGTATTGCGATCAGGCTTTGTATTGTTGTGGCTTTTCTTCTTGATATAGTCCATGGTATAGTCGTGTGCTCTGCGTACCGAATCCGTTTGATAAATCGTGGAATTCTCATGATGCATGGGGAACCTGCCGAACATACGATGCCCCACAATTGATTTTGCTGCATTGTACACCATATGGGGGTGGTTGCGGCCCACAAGGAACGACATTCTCAAAAAAATATACAACGTTAATTTGAATTTGGAATTTTGTTTCTTTAAGCCAAATGTATTTTAGTTCGTTAAAATACAAGTTTTAATGTTTTTCATTTTATGTATTTCGCATGACATACTATGCTTATATACTGAAAATAATATTTCAGCGCACTCAAAAAGTTACTGTTGAAGTACTATAATTTCTGTCTCGGTTGAAAAGTCAAGTTCATTCATAAAATAATATAATATGATTAAGGAATTAGCTTCGGTTAGAATTTGCACTCTAAGATACTCGTTTATCTACTCTTGATAGATTTAGCAAACGAAAGGCAAGTCTTTTGATTTCCCAATTAAATGTAAGTCTTCCATTTATATCTCTGCTTTATAAAACGCATTGAACAATCGATTCTACAGAATATAGTATAAGCATATGGAGAATAAGAATAATTTATTTTTTTTTTGTAATCAATTGATTACGTTTTTATCAAATGTATTTATGCTTGCTAAGTCTTGATTTTTGTTCTCTGATTGTTAATGATGGTAATACAACAAAATTTTTGCATACTGGGGCATAAGGGGAAAAATCCAAAATGTTCTTGATACTTCTTCAAAAAGACTGCCTTTTTCGAAATATTCTTAAGCTTCACATAGTTTGTGAAGGCTGTGGTTATGCTAATTTATTAATATAACCGATAGATGAATCTGAATACTTACCATCATACTCCATATTCTGGTTAATTTCATGCAATATCCTTTATATATCATGTGTACCGTAGATCATGCGTCTGCGAAAGTCTGCCCACCGATAGCGCGCATTCCAATGGTGCAGCTGGGCATCCTTGGATTTGCCTTGCTGATGGTGATTTATAAAATTCTGCACAAAACTGCTAGGTGCGTGATGATATTCTGGATTTGGCTCTCTACGCTGCTGCATCATGTTGCTTTTGATTTGAGCCATTTGAGCCTTAGACTTATTTTGGTGATGTAATTTTCGACTGGAATACGGCAACTTGCTTTGGTATATAACAAGACATCTCGAAAACATGTCAAAATAGTTAACAATTCCAACTTGTTCTTGAAATGATATTAATTTACGTGATTTGGATTTGTGCTTCAAATTCCCAGATCCTCGTACGAAACAAAAGTACAAATGTTTATGAATATTAAGTGTCTAAATAAAACAGATCTAATGATCTGGCAACATATGAAACACAGCTGACTTTGATGGCGCTGTGCAAACAGTGTTTCAATAGCAAACTATTTAAGTACACAAATACTTGTAGTTCTCTGTAGATAAATTCTCAGAGCTTAAGTCATAAAATAATAGTTATTCAAATAATATGAAACTAACAAAATTAAATCATATTAATTATTAATAATTGTTATTACAATAATAATAATGTCAATTGTTATATCTACTGTAATTATAATAATAATAATACAAAGTATGTAATAAACATAAAATATGTTGACCATGATTTTCGACAACATTATAAAAATTAAAGTAAAAATAAATTCAAATTATATTAAAAATGATACTTACATTAATTGAATATGCTGACACAAATACATACTATATTAAGTCCAACAACGTGGTCTTTGTGGAATGGACTTAAAGATAAATAATTTTGTATATTTTTTAACATAGTAAAATAAGACAGTAATAATATTAATCAAAATAAAAATATTCTTAGCATAACAATGATAGAAAGAACTTTTAATACATAGTACATATTTAAATAAATTGACATTAGAAACATATTAAGTCCAACAACTTGTATTTTCTCGACTAGATTTACCGATTCACAATTCGTCATAGTTCAACAATTGTCATCCGCTTTATTAATATTCGTGAAGAGCTCTTACCCCGTTTTCGTGCTACTTAACACGCGAGTTTGTTCTTCAGAAACTAGCGACATACTTTGTCATATTTTCACGTCCTTTCTGTGAATAAAGGAGACATGAAAAAGCAACAACAGCAGAAAGTGGCTAAAGAAAGGACCGAATACAAATAAGAGTGCACTCAAGTAATACGCTTCATAATTTTTATTGTCAAGTCTTTTTGGGGGGGGGGTTTGAGCTCTTGGCGTCGTTGTTTGGCCCACTCGACAACAAAAGCTGGAAAGCGCTTGCCATGAGAGAAAAACAACAACAAAATATAAAAACAAAAGCAAAATGGAAAATGGAAAAAGGCAGAAAATGAAGTGCAGCCAGCACAAGAGATTGCAACAAAGCAGAGCACCATTTTTTTCAAAGCAGCATACATTTTATAATATACAAAAAAATCAATGGAGGCAAAATACAAGCGCCAGTGCAAAAGGATTACGGCCAGGACATGACGGTGTCGGGAATCCAGGGTCGAGGGTCCAGGCCACTTCTTATGCAAAGCACTGGCCCACTACCAGAACTACCAGAACAGCACAGCACAGCATCAGCACAGCATCTGCACTGCCTGCTGCCGTTTCCCTCCCCTGCAATGCCACTCTTGGCCGTGGCACGCAATTAACTTGGCTGTGATTTTATTTGAGCTCATTGTTTTTGTTAAGTTGTTGCCATTTCTAGTGTTTTGCGCGAGTTAATTTCAATGCACAAACATACAGTTGCATACAGTTACATTTCATTTGATGTACATAAAATCTGCAATTCATTATACTCTAAGCCCAGGGAAAATTGTAAATGGAGCATACAGTTTTTTGGAGGAAGGACGTAACAAGAAGGAAACATCTCCAATTCCATTATGGTAAATATATTTTAGATCAGGGCGAAAAAATGCACTCTTTTTGATCTATGTCCGCCTGTCAGTCTATTCAATGGGTATTTCTTGTACGTGGCAAGTTTTCTGCTTCAAATATTATTTTTCAGTTTTTTACTCATTTCCTGCTTGTGAAAAACTTGTATTAATGCCTGCTATCGCAAATTAAATTTAACATAGATATATATCAATTATTTTTAACCAATTGAATGAAGAGCCAAAGTTGGTAACAATATTTTCCGCACATTTTATTCCCGTGGTGTAAAGCTTGAAACTGCAGAAAAAAAAAAAAAACAATTTTTATTCATTCAATTTTCGAGAAAAGTGGAGAACACGAATCAATTGGAAAAAAAATTTCAATACCATGACGTTTTTATGTAGGACTTGAAAAATAAGTTTCAAGTCGATCTGACAAAATGAAAAACTACGCCCGAAAAATTTGTAACTCCAATTTTCCACCGAGTAGGCTTGGCTTTTGCGAAAATGCATTTTCACAAAGAGCTTACGTGTGGATTATCCCGATACAATGTCTAAGCGTGCATCTTATCACATAAGCTAGCTACAGTTGGGCTGTGTCGGTTTGGGTTGTGAAATGAACAGCAATAAATCAGACAGTCACTCAGTTATACAGAACAAACAGATATATATATATATATATATAAAAAATAACAGCATTATAAAACTATTTACTTCTTGGACAACAAGAAGTCGATTCAGAATGCAGATCCCCTGAATAAGGGTGCAGCTTGTGGCGTGCGGCTCTATATTCGTAAGGGTAGATTGGCGCTGGGTTCACTTCCGACCGGAGCACTTGTTGGGTTTTGCACTTGTTGGCATAATTAGTCGGTCGCGACAGCGCTCGGGCTTTATCTTTGATGTGTCCCGCGCCAAAATGGGCTAAGTACTAGAAGGCGGCAATTAACAAAGAGTTCATAATTGCTTAATTATATTTTCTGCTCTCGTTAAAGAGAAAAGCTGAAATATTGGAAATGGAAAAAATACAAAGTCCAGCTTATGGTCATGCATACATATATATTTGTCATAGCAATTAATTTCGATAAATTTGTTAAACTGCATGTTCAATTTTTTAACATATTCAAATTTTTGAGTTGCCTCTCAGAAATACGGAAACAATTTAGAATTTATGCCAAAAGTAGTTGAATCTATGCATGCATAGTTATATATATATATATGCAGACTTTTAGGCAGAACTAGGTAACTAAAAGCTCGTACCGCCATATATCATGCGATGGCGAAACTCGGCCCAGCTGTTGCGGTGGGTTCTATAGGTGGTGTACGGCGCGATAACCTTCTTTGAGAGGGAAGACTCGGGATAAACTGGTCGATGCTTGGTCATTCGTCTAAGTAGATCGGCATCTGCTTCACGCTGTTTTTCTTGATCATCCTCGTTGACTTCTTGAGCACCAAAGACAGCATCCCGAACAGTACGCAGCTCCCGTTGACCTTCATTATTAGCCTCTTCGTGTGATTCAGCGGCAATAACATCCGCTATAGGCTCTTGTTTTTCATTCATTTCTGGTTTCTCCATTGAACCCCGTCTCATGCAAGCATTTTTGGCAGCCAATATGTTATTGCGTCGGGGCGTGGAGCCTCTTCGATTAATTAAATGATTTTGGGTTACATTATTGGTACCGAATTGTCTAAAGTTGGTCCAGTTTCGATTTTGACGGAGAAGTTGGACAGCCGCATAGCCCTCTTCTCGCTTGGGCCACGAGAGCCTATCGCTGGTCTTGACGCTTAGTCCAAAAGCATCATAGCTCTTCTCCAGAAGGGTCCTTCCACTATAATTCCGTTGATAAGCGCGCATCGTCTGTGATATCCGTTGCACGGCCGAGACACTTTTTGCCGGCATTATCGAAAAAATATAACCGAAACTTTTATATATAGCCAAAGTTTTAATACGTTAGTCCTACTTCTGGGCAACGCGTTTAAAAAAAAAATATTTTTCGAAAAATTTTAAATTTGGTTGACCACGTTAGACAGAATATTTGAAAATGAGGCATTGAACAGTACGACTACGAATTTGTTATTCTTACTGCCAATGACAATAAATGAAGCGAGTGCTCGACAACAAAACCCAATACAAAACCAAAATGTCAATTTCAAAGTTCCAGAGCTAAACGATTGCTTGAAAGTATATTCATATATAAATAGTATATTTATTTCTTTATTTATTTATGCGTATTTATTGCCAGCAGAATTCAATTAAAAAAACCTACTTGAGTTGCGTATCAAACAAATTACAAGTGCACACAAAAAAGCAAAAATATCCCATAAAACAATTTTCCTCGTCGCAGGAACATTTATTAATTTTACAGCAGGCAACAGCCGCAGATGTCGTTGGGGTTGAGCAATGCTTGGGACGGAGGGGAGGCCGGAATGGCCTATGCAAAATTTAACGCAATTTTGAGATAACAAAAAGCCGACAACACAAACGTCGCCAAGAAATTGAGTTAGCATACAATTACAACAACAATTATGAGTTGCATTTTACAATAAATGAAAATACAACAACAAGAACAACAATTGGCCAACTACTGGATGCCCTTAGATGTAAAATGTTGAGCCTCTGTTGAAAGGAACTGCGTTTTAAATGTTTGAAACTAGATACTACAGAAGAAAAATAATTATAAATTAATTTCCATTTATTATAGAACATCTTTTGCATGGAAGGAAAATTAGTTTTTGGTAAATTAACTAATAACATTATATCAAAAATAAAATCTCTGGTAAGATAGCCTAGCTTTTTGGATCCCACAACTGAAGAAAATATTTTGGTTTTTTTATTAAAGATTGTTATGCAAAAATCTCAACTCTAATAAATTATTATTCTGCGCAAAGAACCCGCTAATTTTTAAGCATTATTTAAAAATGAATCTACCATAGAAATATCATTTTCCATCTTACACGCACATAAAAATGCTAGATTTACTGTTGGAATTTTCTTATTATTTGAAAACATTATTTTAATGGATATAGTACTTATGTTCAATCCACTTTTGTGTGTTGCAGAACTTTACATGAGTATGAAATAAACAAATACAAGCTCGACACACAAAAAGTGTAATATATGAACCAAGTCTTTTTAATGAATACCAAAGTAGGCCACAGATTTAAAGTTTGTTTAAATTTTGACAGTGTCTTAAGAATAAACTTGCTCAGCTTGATTATAAATTTGTAAAATAAACTTTCGGTCTTAGCCAAATTATATCAAACGCTAACGAAGCATATAATAAAAATAACCATAAACCTAAAGTACTTAGCTAAGGTAAGTGTATAAACTGTCAGTACATTTTATTGTAGTTGGTGGAAACTATGCACAGAGCTGAAGGCTGCATGGGCAATAGGATGGGCTGTAAGTTTGTGCATTGTTTAAATATAGGCAAAACATGTCACAGCTTTTTAATTTAAATGCAAATTTAGGCTTTTGTCAACACTTCAAGACTGCCAAACTGAGGCGAAAGAAGCAACAGCAAGAGCAGCCGAACAAGATGCTGGAGCGTCAAATTTCTGAGGGGCAATGCCAAGAGAGTTGTCTAGCAATTGTCGAGAGCTTTCCAGCTGCCAGCTGCATATGGCATTGCGAAGCCCAACAGTCAATAAACAACAGCCACTCCTCTAACGCGCACAAACCGAGCCGCCCAAATAGCGCCACAGCCAGTTGAGATGTGCCGAGACGCGAGTGTTGACTCCAATGCCAAAGCTTTGGCCACAGGCACGTCCGTAGCTGATGATGCCGAGCAGGAACATGCGTGAGCGTTGACGCTGGATAACGGGTCCGCCCGAATCGAACTGGCAGGAGTCCTGACCCAATCCCATATGATCATAAGTGCACACCTGATTGGGGGCTATGGTGCCATTATAACGGACACTGCACTCAGCATTCACAATGGTCATCAATTGGGCCTTTTGTAGCGTATTCGATTTGGCAAAACCAAAGCCCAAAGTGCCCCAGCCAGCAATATCGACAATCTCGTAGGTTTCGGCTCTAATGCAATTGAAAGAAATAAGTGAAGATTGTTAGATCACAATAGACATGAAACTGAACTCGATTTGCTGTAATTTCCAACTCATTTAAGCTAAACCTTAGTATGATAAGCTCGGTGAAGATCTTTTCTAGGGAAAAGTCAAATTACTAACTATTTAATTATTTCGCTTGAATTAAAGTGCCCTAGTAATTTTGATATATTTTTGTTGATAAATAGTAAATTCTTAGTTAAATCTTGTTAAACAATACTCATAAGTTTTACTCAAATGATAAAATCATAAAATTATATAATATATAAAGAGAAGAGTTTGTCTCAGTGTGCAACTTGAGGTAAAATGATAACGTCAGTAGGTTAATTGCTGTTCTTCACCCAAAACCTTTTAGAAGATTAATATTTTCCTCTTTCTTTTTGACTTTAAAATTTTTAATGCGCTTGTATATATGTATATATATTTCTGAATAATGATGCTTGTAAATATCTTGATGAAACGAATATTTTGCCATACAAGGACCTCATTTTTTACATATATGAAGCTGCTTACTTCACTTTCTGCTCCTATGGAGAGAATGTATTTCGGGTATCTGAAGCTGCTTTCAGCTTTTGTAACTTTATAGCCTAGTTAAAAATTGTAATAAATACTTTTGACTTACAATTGTGTCTGTCCAAAGGGCAGGCAAATAGGGGCCACGCCTCGTGAAAATTCGATGGGTGCCAATGTCTGAAGTAGAGCGATATCGTTTGAATCTCCAATGCTGTTGTAGGCCGGATGATTGATAATGGCTTGTATGGCATATTGAACAGCGAACATCGATTCGCTAGCTGTGTAGAAAAATAAGTGAGTTAATTGGTCAAGAAAAAAGAAGAAAGAAGTACTTACCACTGCTGAGATCGTGATCACCCACCAGAGCCAAGAGTCGAGTGGCCAACCGCTGGACCGTGCAATGCGCTGCGGTGACAATGAAGCGATCACTGACGATGCTGCCGCCACAGAAGATGGGCAGATTGGATCCAATCTCCCGCAGACCCACCATTGAGGGAAACTCGTGTTTGGTCGCCTCGACGCCGTTCGTGATGCGCATCGGCTGCGACCAGCCGCAGTCGCAGGGCACGCGACGTGCCACCGCCTGGCAGCTCAGCCTGGCTCGCTGCTGGGTTGAGGCACTGATCGACTGGTAGCCCAAGGCAATGGATTGATAGTTCGAGGTGCGGGACACCTGACCCATGCGACAATAGCGGTCGGCATCACGGAATTCCATATCTCCGTCGCGTGAGATGAAGAGAAACTTGGCTTGGCAGATGTCGGGATACTAAAACCAAAATTGAGTCACACAAGCTGATAGCCTGGTAAGCAATCCATAATTTTATTACCACTTCAAAGCGACAAGTCAGGTGTATCACATGATTGGGAGGCGCCTTAATCAGGTAACGACAGCTGCTGCCCGCTGGCAGTGCCCTTGGAAAATTAGAGCTGGTTATGTTGATGGCTTGATTCGTCTGCAGATTGTACTGCCAGTTGCATTGCTGAGCGTTCACCATGCTGAGCAGCAGTGGCAGCAGTAGCAGCAGCAAACCGGGAGATGGCAGCTTGAACATTCTCACAGAATATTATCTCTAGTATTATTGACAGCGAATGCAAGCGGCATCACAAGCATCACCAGCTCTTATATCAGAATTGGGGAGCCATGAGACAAATAAATTATATTTTAAATAAAGTCAGATCCCTGACGAAAGTAGATTACGAAGTCAATGCCACGACTATTGGCTGAAGGGTTTCTGGCCCCTGCAAATAAGTAGTACAAAAGCCAGTAATTCAACAAATATTTATATTGTTATCTTCATGAATGGATCTGAATCATATGAAGCATATTATGTCTATATATTTCTAAATAATTTTAAGCGAATGCGACTACCGTTAGAAAATTGAAGGGAAGATAGATTTGACTATGTTTGATTTTCTTAGAACTCTCCACAGAGTGGAGGGGTGCCTGCAAGTTTAGAGTTAATAACAAATCCTGCTGACGATGGGCTTGTAAATGCTAGTCTCGATGCGGGACGTGTAAGTCATAGAGCCTTTTCCCAAGTAACAATAAGGTACGTTTTACCTTCAAAGGCTGCTTGGATTGACATTCAAGCTATCTTCGAGCTTGAGCAGCTGAGATAGAATGGGTCAGGGGACATCAGAGGGAACAATAAATTGGGGCTATGCAGATACCATCTAGTAATTTTTGCGATTTATATTTGATAAATATTTATTTTTGTTAAAGGTCGAATCAGATTTGGAATGTAGAATGATTTCGCAGGAATCGCTAGCTACATAGATACTACACAATTAGAATAGGCAGTCTTTTGGCGTATCCAACCGACATATGTGGTGACTCGGGTGTTGACGCCCATCGCATAAGCGGTGGAGGCGCAAGTCTTGCCGAAGCTGATGATGCCCACAAGGAACTGCTTGGAGAGGCGCTTGATGACCGGACCACCTGAATCGTACTGGCAGGAGTCGCGACTCTGGCCGTTATAGTCGTAGGTGCACATTTGGCCAGAGTTGATTGTGGCAACACCATTGTAATCCGTTTGGCAATCCTGATTGCTGGCCACCATCAGGTTAATCTTTTGCAGCGTGGTGGACGTGGGGCCGGCAAAGTAGGTTGTGCCCCAGCCTATAACATCGACCCCATCGTAGGCAAAGCTACTGGAACTGCACAGGAAGTGAAAATATTTGAGGATCTGTTCAGCATTTGTCTCCATTCAAAGTTCTACTTACGTGCCTGAAGGTGGCAGGCAAATGGGACCCACACCACGTGTCCACTTAATATTCGAGGCTGTGGTCAGCACCGCGATATCATTCACCACATTCGGCTCGTTTTGGTACTGTTCGTGCCGCAGCATCTGCTGGATCGCATACTGAGCGTAATAGATAGAACTGCTGGCTGTAAAAGCGATACGTATAAGGAGGCAGATCTAACAGTTTGTAGCTTATATAACTTACGATTTTGCAGGTTGTTGGTGCCAACAATGGCCACAATGTTGGTGGCCTG